TGGAGAGCAACACAAATATCAAATTAATTTTAATCAATTCATCTACCTCCCTTTTTTATAAACCAAATGTGCTATCTGATGTGACATACTTGTGAGTCTAAGAGAGGCACATGAGACAAGTGACATGCAGAGTCTCTGGAAACAAGAGCACATGCTTCTAAAGAACCTTCTCTTAACCCTGCTTGGATTCTCAAAAGTAAAGTTTAGTTGTCCAACAGTTTAATATTAGATATCACAATAGACACATGTAATTGTACCTGACAATTTGCACTATTGTGATTTAAGGACCAGAAGCACAAATTGTTACAGATAAATCCTGTACACCAGGGAAACTGCATATGATAACTAACATGAAATGGTGATTTTTTTGAAAAATAAGCAAAATAACCCTCACTTTCAAGATGTCTTTGACATCTGTTCTCCTGTCTTTAAATATCTGTAATTACTGATGAGAAATTCAGTGTCAGTTTGATTCGCTTTTCTTTGAAGGTATTTGCGTGTGTGTGTGTGTGTGTGTGAGCAACTCTGAAGTGTTTAAGACCTTCTGCATATCAGTCATGAAAGATTCTCAATCTTTATGATGATGTATCATGACGTGGGTCATTTTCAATTCACTGCAAACTTCAGTGATATTGATAAGTGTTTCCTTTGGTTTTCATTTTTCTCAATTACTTGCTCTTTCCTGTTTTAATACATAACTTTTGTTGCTATTCTATAATTGGTTCTTCACCTCACTTTTATCTTTTGCCCTTTCTAATGAAGTTTTAATTTGGACAATGTGTGTGCTATGCAAGACAGCAGGATTGGGGTGACTTGTGATGAATCTGTTTGCAGAGGCCTTCTCAGGCTCATCTTCCTTCTCGCATTTGAACTTCTGAGACTCAACTTGGGGGAGACAGGCTCTTTTGTAACTGTGTAGACCATCTTCTCAGCCAGTGCTACACAGTGTATTTCACATGATGAATGATAGAGATGTTCTGTATCTGCTGCTTATTACATGTGGCTGCTGCACTTCAAATGTGGCTAGTGGGACAAAGAACTAAATTTCTAATGTAATTATAATTAATTTTACCTTCAACAGCTGCATTTGACAGTGGCTTCTGTACTAGACAGCAGGGCTGTGAGTGCTTGTTCCCTATACTTTGCTTCATCAGCCTCCCCTACCCTTGCTTACTCTCTTTCATAAATTCACTGAAATTTCTTGTTAGCTAAGGACTTCCCTTTCATTCTCTTATCATCCTCAAGAATTCCTTTGATATAATTTTTATCAAATGAAGGCAAGTATTTGTGATTAACTGGCTTTTCTTCAAAGAGAAGTCTTTGCTTTTTCTAAAGTAATAAATCACTTTTTAAAGAAATAATTTATTAACTTCTTTAATTCCCACAGTGATTCTAAAAACATCTACATGATATTAATTATTGTGTTAGCCAGTTTCTTTGTTCACAATGGGGCACTTACTATGTCTTAGGTACAGGAGATGCAAAGAGATAATCCCTATCCCAGAGAATGTACACTTAAGTGGTTTTTATTTATTTTATGCCATGTATATAATAGCAAGCTGCTTCCTCCATTTAAACATCTTAAATATAGCCATTATATAATTCCTAAAGTGAGATTTTAATCATTCTTGTCCATTTGTGATATTAGCATAAATACACATAGGGGTAAACAGTCTGCATTTCCTTGGCCTAATCTAAATCAAGACAGGCTGTTTAGTCACAGATTTACAGTAAGGATGTGTAATGCAAGACTCTGAAGTCTTACTTCCAAAGTCGGTACTCCACATTACTGTAATATAATCCAAGGAATTGATAATAACCAAATAAAACAATAGGTTAATAAATTATGGTCCATCCCCCTCAATTAATTCAACACATAACTTACTAAAAATTATGCTAAAGAAAAATAATGTCAAATACATATTTAAGTATAACAGTAGTTGGAAAAAAGCAGATTACAAACTGATAAAGTATGATCCTATTGTAAATAAAAGACAGATATGTGGTACAGATATATGAAATGATGAACAATAAAATAATAATAGTGGTTCTTTCTAGTTGATGGAATCCATGTTCTCCCTTTATTTCTCCCTCTCCTCCCTCCCTTCCAACTGGTAATGGTATTCTTCCTGCAAATACAATATCTATAATGCATCTATTCAGGAAAAGTATTTACTTGTGTTCTTCTTCTAGCCTTGACATTTTTTTATTAGTTCTATTCAGTTATACATGACAGCAGAAAGATATTCAATTCATTGTACACAAATGGAGCAGAATTTTTCACTTCTCTGGTTGAGCATGAAGTAGAGTCACACAATTCGTGCACTCATACATGTACCTAGAGTAATGATGTCCGTCTCATTTTAAGAGTGCAGGTCTTGTCCCTGGATATGAGATACCCTGTTCATTCACAGGTGGGTAGAAAGCTTTCCCTTATAGATGCAATCAGAATGATGAGCTTCTTTCCTGTTAACAGCAGGCCTTGCTGTACAGCAATCCACTTTCCAGCTCTCCTGTGTAATGTGGCTATCATTGAGTGTGACATAGATAGGCTAGTCTCAGCTAAGGTTCTCATTTTTTGACACAATGTTAGAAAGACACTTATCTGCAGTGAAGGCCCCATTTATCCAAGATAGGTAGATATAACTCATTCCCCTACCTTCCCTGCAGATATAGTGGGTCTGATTTCTTTTTTGTTACCAAGGGGCTGAGTCCCATATTACAAGAAGTGAAAGCACAATACTTTCTTATATGTGACAGAAGAACCTTAGGAGCAGTCCTATTTAGTCCAAGAGTGACTTATATAATACACCTTTTCTTCTAGGTAGAAGTTCCTCATTGCAATTCTGGGTGCTTGAAATTCAACACAAAACACTCTGACCATGAGCAAAATGTTACTCTGTAATTATAAACGGTAGATTTACTTTTACCTTTCCAGATCCATTACAGAGATTCCAGTTGACCAGTGATGTTTATAATCAAATCAATTTGTTTCTTGTATGTGTGTGTGTGTGTGTGTGTGTGTGTGTGTGTGTATATATATATATATATATAGTATAAGAAGTATAAAATGTAGAGTAACATACCCTTCCTATAAAAATGTCTTTTTTTAGCCTTCCTATAAAAATGCCAATATAGATAGTATAGAACTTACAAAAGAATTATATTACAAAAGCTAAATCCTAAATCAACTGTGTTAAATTTGGTACTTGTTTCCCTTTGGAGTGATGTCCTATGGTAACGAAGGCCTTCAATTTACATTCTAACTAGGTAAGTAGCAATGAGTACTTACATCAGACATTCTCCAACTTTTAGTAAGGCCACATTAATTTATAGCACTGAGGGCTATAAATGCAATGGAAAGGTCACCTGGGAACCGTTAGGTAATGCCAGATAAGATTCTGATGTGGGGTGTGGGAAGCTTAACTTTGGTGCATGGCTGCCCATGTGAGATGCCTCCAAGGCCCCACATCTATATATTTGAAGTGTACTGTGTTATAGCATTAAATGTGTGGTTTTAATACCTCATACTTGGCATTTTTAAAATAAAGTTTTGTAAGTCAAGAAATAATTAAACTTCAATCACTGTTAGTAAAAGATTTCTGATTTTAAGCTGTTTATAAAACAAAATCTTCCTCTTAAAATTTGAGATATGTTTTAAGTTTCTATGAAACAAAAAAGTCTTCAGAGATGGAAAAGTGGAATCTGTTAATGAAGATTGCTGAATTTTAGATAGAAGCCATGCTGTTGCTTCCAAAAATCTCAACTGAATTGTAATCTCAAATGGAAATGACCCCAGCTTGGCACAATGGTACACACCTATAATCCCAGAGGCCTGGGAGGCTGAGGCAGGAGGATTGCAAGTTCAAAGCCAAATTAGCAAGGCCCTAAGCAATTTAGTGGGACCTTTTCTCTAAATAAAATATTTTTAAAAGGGCTGGGATATGGCTCAGTGGTTAAGTGATTAAATATCCCCAGTACCAAAAAAAAAAAAAAAAAAAGTGGGGGAGGGAGGGGGAGAATGACCTCACATAGTTCCTCCATTTCTGAACAAAATGGAGTGATAGAAAATGGATTTGATTTCCTCTCTAAAACTAGAGCAACAAATAAAATATATGAAGAAGAAAAGATTTTCAAGACACTGGATATTGGGCAAAGAACCTAGAGAAAACTGAAAATGATGAGGTGACTGTTATAATCAGCTTATTGTTTGTGTTGAAAAGTCTTCAGGCTGCAGTACAGGAAGGAGGAATACATGCAGAATTTGGTAATCTCCCCAAGTTGAGGAGAGCATGAGTCTTTTTTTTTATATTCTACATTTTATGATGCACTGAATCTTGGTGGCCTTGCTGACCAGGGGGAGATTACCTCTCTCAGGGATAGTTAGTTCTTTGATTTCCCTGCGAACATGCCTTTCACATGCAAGCCAACCAATCCAAAGTCCATACTCCTTGTTACTTAGGAAACAAGCCAGCAAGTCAGTGTTTTCCCTGTTCTAAATCACCCCAGGGCCAAGTACCAGACAATTAGGGACCATCTCAAAAGTCTAGAGCTTGGCAAAATTATTCAAATTAGCTATCTTAAACTTGCCTCACCCACTCCTTTTCTTGGAACCCCTAGGCCATGTTCACCTGTGTTCCTTCTGCTTTCTGACCCAATGAGGTGCTTACCTGTCTAACCCTGCCTCGTGTAGCATGTCCCCCTGCTCTCTTGGAAATTGTAAGTAACTAACTTCTCTTTCAACACAGTTTGTTTTCATGTCTGTCACTTTACCATATCTGATTAAAACAAATTCCAGGTACATTTTAAAACAAGGAGACAGGACTGACAGTCTAGGGAGGTGAATGCTTTGGTTTTTGACAAGGCAAAATAGTGGGAGGAGAGATCTGCCATGAATGAGGAAAGCTCCAGAGATCTGCAGAGGGTTACCATTTAGTTCCAGCTAAGTATTGATCAATATAATCATATGAGAAACAACCAGAAACTGGGGGAAGCATATGTTGATCAGTATTACCTTTAATAGTCCCAAACTGGAAATGACCCAAACACCATCAACACAGAATAAATACATTGAAGTGTAATTCAACCAATGGCAAAGTACAGTATAATTAAATGAAAAAACCACAGGTAACAAATCAGGTGTACATCACACTCTGCTGCATGAAAGAAGCCAGATACAAAAGGACAAACAAGTGACAGAGTTCAAAACTAGGCAAAACTAAATAGTATCAGTAGATGTCAAGAGAGTAACTACATTTGGAGATGGTGTAAAAGGGATTAAAGGGGCTTAAAGGGGGCTTCTCAGAACCAGGCAGTGGACCTTGAGTTGGGTGGTAGTTAAGGGAACACTGTACTGATATAATTCATGGGGTACTTTTATAGTTAAACATTTTTCTGTCATTTCTTAATTAAAAACTTAAAATTCAAAGAACTTGTAGAGATTTTTAACACTTTTTAAAACAAAAGTTTCATCAGGAAATGTGCCCAATCCCTTTATTATGACTCTTATTTTTTTTTTCTTGGTAATTTCCCTCTAAGTATACTCTCCCCTCCACCCATGCCCCCCCACACTTAACCAGAACACGAGTTTATTTTCCAGTAGGAAGCCATCTTTGTCATTCCTCAGAAATGCTCTTAATGCAGCACAGTGGTCAGAAATAATAATACCAAATAGAAGTGTAATTTCCTAAGTGGAAAACACATTTCTCTTGGCAATAACTGTCAATAGCCTTCCTGGAAACCCAGCAGAATTCAGAGTTTCAAGCACCATAGTGAAGGAAATGTTTAGTACCAGGAATAATGGAAACAAAAACATGAAAGAAAGAATGATTCGGAAGAATGTTAATTGTTTACTTTAGTTGCATTAAAAATAAAAATACAAGGGCCGGGGTTGTGGTTCATCAGTAAAGTGCTCATTTAGCACGTGCGAGGCCCTGAGTTCAATCTTCAACACCACAAAAAAATAAATAAAATAAATACATAAAACAAAGGTATTGTGTCCAACCACAACTAAAAAATACATATTAAAAATAAATAAAAATACAGATATGAAGAAAGGACTCGCTGAGGAGTCAATCTATTTTATTGGCTACCACCATCTTCTGAAATCTACTTAATGTTCAAATATTACTTTGGGACTTCAACTTATAGTAGAAGAGCTAAACGGTTTGAAATATCTAAGTGGGGGTTAAAGTTGGAAGACCAGTAGAACATTAATTTCATAGTTCAAATGTTATCAATGAGTTTTCCAAGTGCACATAATCTATAGCAGAAGGCTGCCTTCTGTTTAATACTGTCACTTATATTGGTGCCATTTTGTCAGTTTGGAAAAATACCAAGTCACCTTCAAGTCCAAGCTTACTTATCTTCTCTATTATTTATACAGGTAGAATGATCTCTCTTTCAAAGAACCACCCACATTCTGCATCTATTTTTATGAGAGCCCTTACTGTGTTAAATTAAACATTTTCCATATTTGTTTCTCCTAGTGCACTGTCAGTAACTTAAGGGCAGGACCTATATTTCATTCATTATTTCCACCATGTTTGACAATTTGGTTTATGGCATGTCTTTGGAAAGAAGGTTATTAACTGAAATAAATTGGAATGGACTGAGGGAGGAGGTAGCGTAGGGCTAGTAGTTTTGGAGGGTGAGGAGGATAAGTCTACCGCCTCATTTGAAGTGGTCCAAGAACTGAGATCACAATGGAGGCCAAAAGTGGAGGCCAAAGCACACCAACATTGATAGGCCAAATTGACAGGTGTTGGTATACAAGTAGTATATAAATAATCACAGGATAGAGGGCAGGTCCAGGAGTTTCTGTTGAGACAAGTCAGAAACTAGGCTACATAAGCACTAGTTAGATAGCATCCAGGGACAATAGAGAGGCAAATAAAGTCACAGGTAATGATAAAATGGAAGGTTTTAAAGAGATGTACGAATAGCTTTCCGAAGCAGAACTTGGAGTTGAGAAGAAAAGTTGTCCTGCTATTTTGGGAATATATGGTCTAGTGCCACTGGGTGATTCCACAGAATACTATGACTTTGTCACCATAGTGGGGAGAAAAGGTGCTGAAGCAAAGGGAATTACTGGATACAGGCATAGTGTAATTAGGGCAGGTGAATCATGGAGACAGGAAATCTACCATGTGTGGTATACACACTGCAGTGTAAAGTGTGATGGTTACTCCTCATCTATTCTGTCTGAACTATTACTTTTATCACTTTAAGTCTTTAAAGGGACCAACAGAGTCTATATGTCCAAAATAAATCACGATATTTATAAGGAAAAATGATTCTTTTAAAAAATGTATTCCTTATAAGATTTGGTGGATAAAAAAAAAGGTTTAGTACATTTATCTCCATGATGATGGATTTTAAATGAACATCAAGAGAAAACATGTGTATAACCCATGCAACAATGGTATGCAGAGGTACTTGTCTGGTTCTCTTGATGCTCAATGTACCCTTTCATACCCTCAGTTTGATCAGCTCTAGCCATCACCCTCTCCCCAGTCATAAAAGCCAAGAGAATCAAATGTATGAAATATGATATGTCGAAGGGTGGCTGGGAAGGGAAGTCACTAGTAACAACTAATACAGGTGAAACAGTAACATGTTCTATTTTAAACTCCCCTTAAAATAAAAAAAATATAATAATAACCATGGGAACTGAAATGGGCTCTCCCATGAACAGATACATTCAGACATCTTTGCAGAAGGCCAGCAACAATTAAGAAATAGACTGTAGACCCTAGTCTGAGGTTTTTATCTTGCCAAGGGTTATAAACTCTGAAGACATTTTGGATAAACATGGCTGTGGTAGATTTTAGTCATGGTGGACAGGAAATGGAGTTAACTGCCTTAGTGAGGTGTTTGGTAGGTGATTAAATACATGAAAGATGAGTCTTAAGACTATCTTGTAGGAGGCTGTAATAGATAATGGTGTAATGATCCAAAAGCCAATAAAAAAATTCTTCATTTCCCTTGACCTCCTCTAACAAGAGATGAGGAAAGTCAATGTGTGACTTCTCTATATCCCTTTTAGGGAGTGATGTGACAGTTTTGGCTTTTAATCTAGAGGAGGAAAATCCTGGGAAGGATTTCTCTTTCTTAATAACCCAAAGGCTAATTAGGAATAGACCTTTTGCTTTTTTACCTCTCCCCAATGCTTTTTGTTTCCTATTGGAATGTCAAATAGGAGGCCTAGGGAGCCATCATGTAAGCATGAGATGATGAGCATTGGAAAAAGGTCTACATGCTAAGGCCAACAGAGTGGAAATGTACCAATAACCCACAGCCCTGATGGCATTGTGTGGATGATTTTTACTTCATCTTACTACATCTCAATTTCTTGGTGCATGAGAAAAACTGACCTCTCTGTTTTGGCCACTGTTAACTATAGTCAAATTCATAGTTTTCTGTTAACTATAGTCAAATTCATAGTTTTCTGTTAACTATAGTCAAATTCATCCCAGCTGATAAAAATAAAGATAGTGCCTTTGAATTTTCTGAGTGTTTTTGTCCGAAGCACAGGGGTTGTTATGCTTAATTTCCATGGGATTCTGGCAATGGAGTGGGGGAGAAAGGTGGCATCATACGACATCTGCACAAGTCTAGGGATTTCCAAGAGAAAGAAGTTGTAGTGGCTGACTGAAAAGAGCCTTTCAAGGGTAGGCCCTCCTTGCACATCTTCTGACTATCCCTGAGGGTAACAAGATTTTGGGGGTACAGGGGAGTTAGGAAGGCTGGAGACAAGCAGGTCTGCATGGTAGCAAAGTCTGGGATTGAGGTCAGATTATGAGACTTAAGTATTCTGGAGACCTAAGAAGTTTCCACTCTATGAAAATCCATGCACCACTGCCAGTAGAGTAAGGTGGGGTATTCAAAGAGCCATAAAACAGGAGGTTCTGTCAAAAGATTTAGCAGGGCTACATAGGCTCAGAAACTAGGATGAAACCATTTAACAAGGGGAATTTCTTTAGCGGTTCTTTAGTTTTTCCAGGTTGTTTTCCATATTTAGTAATGATGCCAAATGTGGCTTTTAACAATGTAGAAATCAGAACTAAAAGAGAAATTCTCCCATTGTAAAATTTCTGTGTAATATGGAAAAATGTTAATTATTTATTTGATTTATTATGTGTTTCTTTGTAAGCCAGGATTTTGGTTATTATGATCATCCATTTAGTCTGCAAATTGATAACTCACACAAGTGACAGTGCATTCACCCAAAAGAAAAATGCAACCCAAGATAACCATATTTTTTTTAATAATACAACTTTTTAGACTGAAAGATAATTTTAAAATCTAAGATTTCTTCAGAAAAATACAGTAGGATATTCACAGGCCCATTTGTTTCTAAAAGGGAGATGATATCCTCACATCAGATTTAATCACTCTTGGCCCTAAATCCAAACACTACAAAAGCCAAAAACGCCTTGTTTTCCCCTTTATTCCTGAATTTGAGGTAGAACTTATAAGAATCGTTAAAAACTGCAGTTGGGTTTTATTTTTACAAGCTGCTCACACAAGTGAAAGAATAGGTAGCAAGGGGGTTTCTTCTTAATAAAAAAAATTAATGTGTTTGAGTTAAAAATACTCTAAGAAATTTGTGATTCTTCAGTGAATCTTGTGTTGTCAGCTCATTAAATAGTTCAGTTCATTAGATGTCACTGTAAATATTTTAAAAAGTTACTTTGATATTGATTAAAGAAAGGAAAAATGTGAAAGTTTCTTTTGCAAGAACATATTCAACAAAGTAACCCATCAGGAATTCTTTATTTCTCTGTGCTGTTTTTCTAGTTAGGTAACTGAAAGGAATTAACATCAATTTAGCCTAATGAAAAGAACTTAGAATATTTTTAAAAAGTTAATTATTTGACCTGTGAAACTGCTGAGCTAAAATATATCTTCTTTTAGCTTTGATCAGAAAATCCAATTTAGTTGTCTGAGAGGAAAGTCTACTTCTCATGAGATGGAAGAACATTTACTCTAAAGAAAATATGGAGTAGCAAACATTCCATACTTGAAATAAAGGAGGAAAATATCCACGAACATTCTTTAAAAATAACATTTAAAACAATCTAGTTATACAGATACCACTGGTGAACACTGGTAGTGTTTATAATGCATGCTAACTGGATTAGCGTTACTCTTCTCTGAATGCTGGGTAGGAAATGATGTTTCACATACGCCGGAGAAGAACACTAATGCCACAGTCTTCATGAAGGGATGCACCATCTTTGCCAAAGGGTAGCAGCATTTGAAATACTTGAATATTTTGATTCCTTGAATTTTTCAGAGCTTACAACAACAACAACAAAAATGTGAGTATATAAACTAAAGGATACAGAAGAATAGTTTTTATCTAGATAGGGCAGGATTTATTATCCACTACTTGGACTAGAGAACTTCCTCCATTTGTTTCCGTGTGATTTCTCCTGAAGCACAGACATTACATAATGTGTAAACACTGCAAGGCCTGTACAAGTCAAGCTGGCAAGTTAAGGGTCATTGTCTAGATGACAGTCAAGTCACAGAGAAGGAGACCTGCAGGGGGAATATCCAGCTGGACCAGACAGTACCGCTTCTTTCCCTTTGGCAACCCTTCTCTTCATGAAACCTGAAATCATGCCACCAATTCATGTGACTATATGAATATTGGTTACCTTCACCATATGTGGGGCATAGGTTCTGACAGAGCCCACTAATCATCTACAAGGGGGTCAGGTCTTCTATTTTGAGCTCTCTCTCAGCTGGGACCTTCTTCCATTTGTAGTAAGCAAGCCAATAGGAGTTGTATAAGGATGGCAAAGGCATGTCTGGACAAAGCTTGCTTCTGTGAGGGTTGTTGCCAAGAGCAGGCAGAGCGACACGGGATCCAGAGGAGACAGGTGAGAAGAGGTGCCTAGGATATTTGAGACTCTTAGTTAATGATCAGCTTGGGGACACTATTAAGAGACTGAACTAAGTATCCAAGTAGGGAATGAACTGAGAACCCCCAAAAGAAAGAGGACAAGTAATTCTTATCTCCTTTCTCTTTACCCAGTTACACAGACTAAGTAAGTAATGGGAATAAAATGGAGGCTACTGAACTAATGAATACTTGGACATCAGAAGGCCATATCTAGAGCCAATGAGTTAGAAGACTAGAGAAGGAAAGGATGGAAGATGAGGGCTATTCATTTTCAAGTTTATTTGTTGGAATGAGATGAAAAATGTTCAGTTTGGTTTATAGTACATTTTGCATGTGGCATAACTCTACTATGGTTGTGTGGGAAAGGAAGTCCAGATTCCTCAAGCAACAATGTGGCTGGAAGGCTCTGGTTGTGGTGAATGTGTCCTGTGTCTAACCTGCCTTCTCCCTGTTTCCTGAATCTGGGGCTGCTAGAAGACGTAATTGGAGGTCAATCACTGCAGTTAAAAGGAAGACTCCTTTCTTTCAAGTGTAGTTTCAAATGCTTCTCTAACAGGCATTTATAACTTGGAAAAATACCTTTTTATCAATACCTTTTTAAATAAAAAAATAAGTATTTGACTATATGTTATATGTATAATATATTCATAAGTATATAATTGTAATTCATTTTACCTAGACTTTTCATTTGTAAATAAAGAAACAAATACATATTTCTTATATCCCATGTCCTAATTTGGGCTTAGAAATTATTTCCAAGGAGGCATAAGGAAAGCATGGTAGCTGCCTTGGAATGTGCTCTTAGCCCTAGGGCTGTGGGTCCTCAACCTTCTCGTGTCTCAAGGATAAAGAACACCTAATTTAGGCAGTCAGAATGAAGAAAACACCTATCCTAGGGAGGAAAATGAAGTCCCCAGCTGAAGAATACTTTTATTTTTATTTTTATTTAGTTTTTGGTACTGGGGATTGAACCTGGTGTTTAATCACTAAGCCACATCCCCAGGCCCCCTCCTTTTTAAAAAAATTTATTTAGAGACAGGGTCTTGCTTAGGACCTCACTAAGTTGCTGAGGCTGGCTTTGAACTCATAATTCTCCTGCCTTAGCCTCCTGAACTTCTGGGATTATAGGCATGTGCCACCAGGTCTGGTGAATGCTTTTATTTTTAATTTAATTCTTATTTAAGATGATTTTAGAGTCACATGCAAGTTTTGAGAAATATATGTACCCTTTACTCAGTTTCCCCTAAAGATTACATCTTGCAACACTACAGTATAGTATTACAATAAAGACACTGACACTTATACAGCCAAAAAAATAATAATAATTCCATCACTGCAAGGATCTCTCTTGTTGCCCTTTTATAAACCTCCTCATTTCCATCCTTGCCCTCTTTCCATCCTTAACACTTGGCAACTATTAATTTATTTTCCAAATCTGTAATTTTATAATTTTCTGAATGCTATTACATGGAGTCATACCTATGTAAATACCTATGTAAATTTGGGAATTTTTCCCCTATTAAACATAATACTCTAGAGACAGATTACACATTTGTGTGTGTTAAGAGCTAGTTCCTTTTTATTGTTGAGTAGCTTTCTGTGGTATGGCTACATCAGACTTTGTTTAGCCATTCACCCACTGAAAGACATCAGGTTGTTTCCAGTTTTGGGTTATTATGGTCTTTGTGTAAACATAATTCTCATTCATCAGGGATGAATGTCTGTAAGTGCAATTGCTAGGTTCAATGGTAGTTGCATATTTAGTGTTTTAAGAAACAAGCTGTTTTTTCCCTAAGTAGTATATAATTTTATATTATAGAAGCAGAGTACGAGTGATTCAATTTTGCTGCATCCTCACTGGATGCTATTTTTCATTTCAGCTCTTCTGATAGGTATATAATGATATTTCATTGTGATCTTATTTTGCATTTTCGTAATGACTAATGACGTTGAATAACTTCTCATGTGCTTACTTGGCATCTGAATAACCTCTTTTGTAAAATGTATGTTCATGTCTTTAATCCGTTTTCTAAGTGGATTGTTTGGATTTTTATTACAAGGCACATTACTGATCTGAAAATATGAAATATGAAACTTTTTGAGCATAGAAGTTTCAGATTTGGGAGAGTTATAGATTTTGAATTTTTGGATTGGGAATGCTCAACCTGTACAGTCTATGCAAATATTTCCCCAAATCAAAAAACCTCATATATCTGAAACACTTTTGGTACCAAAAAAAATGCTGGGGGTAGGAGGAGAGGAATCATAAGGGGAATTAAGATGATCTTATTGAAGAACACAGAAAATTTCACATACGTTTGCCAGAATTTCAAATGTTGCTTTCCATTTGGTCTCAAATAATTTCCAAAGATGAACTGGCCCTGAGAGATCACCTAGTGTAATTCTTAATTTGATCAACAACAGAACCAAAGAGGGAAAGTGACTAAATTGAGGCCACAGATTCAGTCTAGGCTGACCCAGTTTGAAAGCTGAGGGTTTCTGGTCCCAGGCAGTGCTGTTCCCACACACCATACAACCCCTTGTCTGTAAATAGGAGCAAAAGGTGAGGAGTTAGACCAGAGAGTCTTCTTTAAGGGACATCTCCAACTTCAACCTCTGGCAATTTCTATGACTGTCCTCAGCCTTGCTTTCCCTTTCTCTCTCTCATATTTTTGTCACTACTACGTTAAGGCTATAATAAAGAATGGGAGTCGGAGAGAGGAGAGAAAAAAAATCCACAAATATAGAATATTTATTAAGCCTTGTATCTGTGATGACTGTTGATAGATACATATTTGGAAAACACCTCACATATTAAGTGTAGCTGCACAGCTGAACAGGGACCGTGGTTAGTTAATCATTGTGCATGTGATTCTGTGGCATTCTCAACACAGGAGATGATGCTAAACTTTTTTCAGGAGTCCTGCCTTTACCATCAACTAGGGCAAAAAGACAACTGCAGCAGCTACAGTGAAAGACACACTACCTGGCTCTGAACACTGTGGTGTGATGATTAATCCTTTTAGAATTTAAGCTCCCACAACAAGATTTAAAGGAGGAAAATAAAAGCATAACCTGTCTACTCCACTGGAATAGTGGGCCTGGTTTTCTTAGGTTGTTTTTGCAAAACACTAAACCAACAAGGCAAACCCTGAGCTCCTAGGAGGACTCAACACATGCTACGCACTACACACAGAACTGCTTCGAGACTGGAGAATCAGAAGCATAGGTAAAATTAAAGTTTGATGAGGCTTTTCTACCCATTTGCATTACAGAACTCCCTTCACTCACTCCTGTTTCTAATTTATTTATCTCTGGTTTTAAACTTTTGGGGGGGAAATCCAACAAACAACTGCTTGCTTTATATTCATCCTCTGCCTAAGATTTATCTGTAAATATTTCCTTATTCAACAATAACATATACCTTTTAAAATGTGCTTACCAAGGCAGAACGGTTGTAATATATTCGTCTGTAAAAATTCAGTCTTCAGGTTCATTACTTGAAGGCCCATTCTGATTATCAAGGACTTGATTTTCTCAGGACATGGTTTAAGTAATAAGTAGCCAGTGACATAGAGAGCATATCGAAACCAGCACAGAAATGGAGTGGCAATCCTGCCATTGGGTGACTCAGCCATTCGCTCAATGGTTGGGAATAGCAGAAAGGTGTGAATGACCTAAAATAAACAAACACACTTTGATGAGAGGTTTTCTTAAGGGATAACTCATTCCTTTATTGTTTCTCTACACAATAATGACAAATGACTAGATTAGAATATGATTAGACTCCCCTTCAGATTGAGAAGAACCACCACCTATTGCTTTCCCTCTCAATTCATAACCAGTTTGGACAGGATCTAAGGATGTCTCTTGGGATGTTGGGGTTAATTTTCAGGGAGGGGGGATTTGGAGTTGATTATTCAGTTTGTTTGGCTTTTCACTTGTTAGGATGGAGTAGCAACTTCTAAACTCTTACACATGGACCTGGAAAGCAGAAGTCCTATTAACATTTTTGTTCATGTCTCTTGGTGCAGGGGTGCCTGTATTTTCGTTGGCTCCATTACCTTGATGTCATATGTGTCATATGGTATGGCATGCATATATTCTGCTTAGGAGACAATTCCAATTTTTTTTTGGTGCCTTCCATAAAATTTTATTTTTTATTTGCCTTTTTAGTTATACATGACAGTAGAGTCAATGTTGACATATTTATACAAATGTGGAGAATATCTTAATCTAATTAGGATACCAGTCTCGTGAATGTGTATGATGTGGAGATTCACTGTGGTGTATTCATATATGTACATAGGAAAGTTAGTCAGATTCATTCCACTGTCTTTCCTATTTCTTCCCCCACTTTCCTTCATTCCCTTTTATCTAATCCACTGAACATCTACCCCACCTTTGTGTGTTAGCATCCACATATCAGAGAGAACATTTGACCAAAGTATTTGTACCAGTTATTACCCAGTACGTAGCACATGCCCACCAACAGTGTGTCCAATGTACAAAGATTTCAATTTCCCTACATCTTCACCAACACTTATAATCTTGTGCTTTTAAAATAGTCATCCTAACATGTGTTAGTTGATAAAGCATTGTGGTTTTAGTTGGCATGTCCCCCATGATTAGCAATGTCAAGTACCTTTTCATACACCTGAGTGGCCACTGGTATGTTTTCTTTGAAGAAATACTTATTCAAGTCCTTTGCCCATTTTTATATTGGGTTCAGATATTTTTTCTTTTACTCATTATCCTGTGTCTTATTTAAGAAATTCTTCTCTAACCCCAAATCATGAAGATACTGTTTTTTTCATTTAAAATGTTTTTTAACTCAACTAAAAGTGGATCAAGGACCTAGGAATTAGACCAGAAACCCTATGCCTAATAGAAGAAAAAGTAGGCCCAAATCTCCATCATGTTGGATTAGGCCCTGACTTCCTTAATAAGGCTCCTAAAGCGCAAATAAATAAAATCAAGAATTAATAAATGGAATGGATTCAAACTAAAAAGCTTCTCAGCAAAAGAAACAATCAATGAAGTAAAGAGAGAGTCTACAGAATGGGAGCAAATTTCTACCACACACACATCAGACAGAGCACTAATCTCCAGGATATATGAAGAACTCAAAAAACTTAACATCAAAAACAAAAAACAAACAACCCAATCAATAAATGGGCTAAGGAAAAGAACAGATACTTCTCAGAATAAGATACACAATAGATCAACAAATATATGAAAAAATGTTCAACATCTCTAGTAATAAGAGAAATGCAAATCAAAACTACTCTAAGATTTAATCTTACTCTAGTCAGAATGGCAATTATCAAGAATACAAATAACAATAAGTATTGGTGAGGATGTGGGGGGAAACGCACACTCATAGATTGCTGGTGGGACTGCAAATTGGTGCAACCAATCTGGAAAGTAGTATGGAGATTCCTTAAAAAACCTGGAATGGAACCATCATTTGACCCAGCTATCCCACTCCTCAGTTTATACCTAAAGGACTTAAAAACAGCATTCTTCAGTGACGCAGCCACATCAATGTTTATAGCAGCACAATTAACAACAGCCAAACTAAGGAACCAACCTAGATGCCCTTCAACAGGTGAATAGATAAAGAAACTGTAGCATATATACACAATGGAATATTACTCAGCGATAAAAGAGAATAAAATTATGGCATTTGCAGGTAAATGGACAGAGTTGGAGAATATCATGCTAAGCGAAGTAAGCCAATCCCCAAAAACCAAAGGCTGAATGTTTTTTCTAATAAGTGGATGCTAATCCATAATGGGGGGGCATGGGATGAGTGGAAGAATTTTGGATTGAGCAGAGAGAAAGGTGGGGAGGGGAGGGGAGATGGGAGTAGGAAAGATGGTGGAATGAGACAGACATTATTACTCTAGATACATGTATGATTGCACCAATGGTGTGATCCTACTTTGTGTATAACCACAGAAGTGATAAATTGTGCTCCATCTGTGTAAAATGAATTGAAGAGCATTCTGCTGTCTTGTATAACTGATTAGAACAAATAGATAAATAAATAAAAAATTTAAAAAATAGAATGTTTCTTTAATAAATTAGATAGTGTTACCTACAATGTAGGTTTAAACCTTTGGCTATATTTAGCTTCAGTTGTGATCTGGTGCCTTTGATATCAGATATCAGAGATTTCATTTACCAATTCTGTTATGCATTTACACTCCTCCTTCTTCTTTTAAATAATTATTTTTTAGTTGTAGTTGGAAACAATACCTTTATTTTATTTATCTTTATATGGTGCTGAGGATTGAACCTAGGGCCTCACATGTGCTAGGCGAGCGCTCTACCATTGAGCCACCACCCCAGCCCTACACTCCTCCTTCTGAAAGAAGTAAATGCTTCTCCCATAGTCCCTGAGAGTAAAGGTGGATTTCATGTCTTTTTCATCTGCTGTTGTACACAGGCCTTTTTCATAGTAGCCTGTTTGATGGCAATGCCCGAATGTCGAATCCTATAAGATATTCCCTGTGATTCTGCCTTCATGTATCTCTTTAATAGAAAACAGGGCCTTGAGGGTCAAAACTGTGGAGGACTTTTTTCTTTCTAGCCATATTTCTTGTTTTTCCTTGGTCATATCACTCAGCTAAGTGCTCAGCTATTTCCTGTAGACTTTTTCCTTTTCTCTCAACAAGAATTGAGATATTTTAGCTATTTCTTTTTTTGGTTATAATAATCTGACCTCCACTGGATTTCGTCCTCTATCACATAATAAGAACATATTGTTCTTTGAACACCTGTATGACCTTGATGATGAGTGAAAAACATTTTTGGGAGGAGGAAGCAACATTTTCAGACAGTTTTTAAATGTTAGATTGACAATAATGCAGTGCAAATGCTTCTAATGTGTTTTTGGAATAAATGCAGGATTTCAGTCAGAATATGAAAGCGAGATTTTGCTACTCTGGCATCTTCTCAAGTAAAGAGCAGAAGAGGGGGTGCTGGATTGATTGAACTACGATTAATAAATGCTTCATGCGGCATGCAATGGGTACTTGTGATGGAGATGTCATAGGCTTCAGTAAGTCAGCAATGACAGACTCCAAAAGCCACAAATCAGAGCCAGTTGCCTGAATTGTTCTTGGGCTTAAGAAATTGCTTTCTGGATGCCACTTTCATCATAAACTCCAACTCAGGGCATTCCAACACAGAGAAGGAAAGATCAGCTCTGGAAAGCCAGCACTTTTCTAATGGCTGATCAATTTCTTTTTCCCCTTCTAGCATAACAAAGGGATACAACATTCCTGATTCACTGGTAATCACTACGATGTTGAGGACACAGATAAGCAGAGTATATAGCACAACCATCATAACTAGTCATTTTCAGGTACAGGAACTATAAGCAATGAACACAGCAGCTTTCCAGGTCTCCAGAGCTCTGGAGCAGAAATCTTCCCACTGTTACATTGAGGTACAGTGGTTATGCCACTATTTCACCTTTGCCTGTTGTCCAAAGATATTTATTTTTTCAAGACTGCTATCAATAGCTCAAATTCATGTTGACTGCTGTCACTTTTAGAGTTGTACCCTATGCCGTTCAGACCGGCAAAATTTAATAAGTCTAATAATACTAAACATTGAAGAAGGTGTAGATCAAGAGGAACTCTAGAACACCACCACATTTATAAAATATTACATTTCTCTCTTCTTTTTTTAAAGTATAGTTACCTTAGTATATGTCTGGAGCTCACACAGAAAGTGTGATATTATATTATATTATCTAATGTTAACAGTACAATTTAAGGATCTGATATTTTACTTGGATACTTAACAGCGTGCGTGAAGAGTCTGGGAGGAAAAAAGAATGAAAAATCTTTCTGTACTCAGGGTAGTGCTACAAACAACCACTTATTTTCCACCTTCAAATTCAGAGTTCTTCTATCTCTTTAAGTTAATTTTAATATTATGAGTCCTTTTATTCTTGAAAGTGCTATAGACGTTCTGTTGGACTTCAAAAGACTTGATGGATTTCAAACGGGTGGTTTATGTGAAGACATAGCTGGTAGAAAAAGGAAGGGCTTCTCACTACCCTGCTGAGGGCTCCTAGGTGAAGGGCTAAGGAGGCTACCTCGCCATCCTGCAGGAAGAGCTTTCCCTATAGGCCAGGGAGTAGATTTCTTGCTAGCAGCTGAGGCAGCAACAAAGAAAACTATGAAGCTGACTTCTCGTGGCTGTGTCCTGGTTTGTCAGTCCCACCTGGAGCTACAGGAACAAGATCTGGTAAGGAAGCCAGGTCAGCCAGTTTACAGTTGCTGCAGAGTCCCGGGCAGCCAATATTCCTGAGCAATATCTTGAAAAGCCTGATGGTTTTGCTTTTCACATTTAGGTCCATAATCAACCTGAAACTTATTTCCACGTATGCTATGAAATATGGGTCTCATTTAATATTTTACCATATGGAAACCCAATTGTCCTAGCACGATTAACTGCAAAGGCTGACCTTTCCCTGCTTTTCTGAATGATACTCATGTTGTAAATCCTGTATATGTGTGAATGGACCCAAGTTAGGGATGTTTAATTTGTCCCACTAGCCTAGTTTTTCTAACTCTGTGCCAAGATCACAATGTCATATTTACTAAAGCTTCATATATATTTTGACAGTTGGTAGGGTAAGTTTATTTCATCATCT